TTGAGATTTGAATAAAAGTCTTAATATTTTTGAACTGTTTCTTTTGTTGTGTGCCATTTATGCTCCAACACGTATGGTTATTGGCTCAAATAGAGACTGCATTTTGGAGCGCATGAACAAGAACTCCGCACCATAGAGTGGCAATAAGAAGAAGGCAAAGAAGCAAGGAGGCGAAGGGACTGGATAACTGTGCTCGCAGTACCATGGTGATGCAAGTTTGAAAGATACGTGTCCAGCCAAAAATAAAAGTATTTGTCAAGTGGGGGCAAGGGTTAGAGAACAGCAGTCTTCCTTTGGTGCTTTTGAAGCCCAGATCTACACTGTCAAAATAACAAGTCGGAAATAAATAAATTGCTAGTGGTGAAACGAGAAACAGAAAAGAATCGATTGGGAATTGTAAAATTTCTTTTTTTTTTAAACACATTTTTCAAACGTAATCCTGTGAAATTCAGACTCAGTTCTACAGAATAATTTCTATGTGTGTATGGAGTATTATTATGAAAACAAAATTTACAATTTAAAATCATGATATTCATGTAATTTTAAAGTGTAAATATTATAATGAAACACTTCTGCTCGTATATTTATTTAATGTTTGTATTACACGTAGGTCATTGGTGTTATTTTGAGCGTGTCCGGCGTAAGGCAAGAGTTTTAGCGTGGCGTAAAACTCCCGACCGTTCGTCTGTACGTATGTCTGTCTGTCCGAAGATGTCTTTTAAGTCTGTATAGCTTTATTATGTACGGGATAGTGGTAGCCTTCAGCTGCTCTCACATGAAATATTTAAGGGTGCCAAAGCAATCTCTCGAAAGAGTCTCTGCCACTTAGCCTGCATTAGTTACTGTTGGAGTTCTGCTGCCGTCAGAAATACAGCGTGTGCAAATGTTCATGACCACAAGTCTGTTGCGGTTATCAGCCTGTGATCTCACTAGCAAATAGTGAAATCACAATTAAATATAAGATAATACACATTAAACGTAACAAAATAATTTCGCATTTATGTATTTTCTCTTAAATACCACCGTCCTTTTTTCATTCTGTAATTTTTAAAATAACATTTTTAATAAACTGATATTTGCTAATATACTTAAAACTCTCCCCGTTTTAGGTAAATCAAACGTTCATTACCGTGTTTACAAAAGCCCGTCACGGAGTTCTATCCAGATTCTAAGACAGGTTACAGTCCGTAACATTACAACCCACTTCTTTAAGATCAATTGTAATATAACCCCCCCCCCCCAGGCCATTTATGCTTCCAGTTACGGTAATCTTAATCCTGTAAAGTCCAGTGGTAAATATATTCCCCACTTATAACAATTAGTAATTCTGCGTTAAGTATTTGTGTTTCGTATGACTCTCACAAAAGCTGATATTATTTTCTTAAACAGCATTGAACAGTTGGCCTTTGTAATCGTGAAGATTTGTGTTTTCTTTGCGGTACGGACTAAGTTATTAAATATTATTTCGACGGCTTCGAAGGGTCGATATTTGGATGTTTGAAGCTCAGAAATTTTCCCTGTGCAATAATGTTATGTTATGAAATCTTATGTAGTTTAAATATATTTTGATGTTCGTTTTATTCACGTGTAACATACGAACGTTTTATGGTATATTTATTCTCTCTTTATGAGTGTTATTATCGAGTTCGGCCTGCTGATCGTAAAAATACAAGTTGACTTCTCGGATAGAAGTTTAGAAGACCGCTATTTGCATACTGTCTACAACTTTGTGCCTTATTCTTCGATTTAATAGGCGCATCGATTATCGCAGCATCCCATCCGTCACTACTTTCGTTTCATTCGTCCTCAACACGATTTAATTAATTAATCTGTGATCGGTTCTTCGTATGTTATGCGTAGAAGACACATTCAAGACAAGTTTAGAAAACATTTACATTTTGGATTAACCGAAAAATTAAATTAAATCTTTGTTTATAATACGGGTTCGATAATCACAAACACATTTTGAACCTGAGCAGGGGGCCTAGAAACAAGCGTGACCTTGACTCTAGTGTCATGAAGGATGTTGGGAAATTCTATTAACATGGGGGTGGAGTCGATTTTGACTTCATATTTGTGCCGTCTTACGTGGGTTAATTTTAAAGAGTACAGAACTCACTTAGTTGCTATTTAAATGTGTTTGACCAGTAATGGTTCATTAAGATTAACTTTATAAATTTGTCACGTATGACTTGTCAGAATTTGTTACAAACATATAAATAAAACTGTACAAGAAGTGTAATATTGATTATAAAGTCGTAAATTATTATGTTAGAATTCTATCTTAAGTTCTGGAAACTTCTATGAAATCCTGCCGTTTAAAGGATTTAATCAAAAGACGAGGTTTGCAACTTTCTTACAAGGGCGAATGGCTGAATAGCACTAATACAAGTTAGCTCTGTGTGGAATAATATCAAGGTAAGTTATACGCATGCGCACACAAGGTCGTGATACTTTGCGTATTTCCTTACAAGGAAAAGTAGGCTAATAGACTACAATTTTAAAAGTTGCTCATGTTATTAATTATACATATACATTAACTAATGAAGTGTGATATGTCTGTAATTTACGTTTAGTTGTGTTAGACAAATATACGAAATTGAACGTTGGTACCAATGTTATGAGTCTGATTATCATCCTTATCGCTAGAGGCGCTACAGTTCTGCTATGACCGTGTGTGACGTTTCTAGAGAATTTTTCTGCTATGTTTCTCTGTCTTCAGACGGTTGGTAGGACTCGCTGAATTAGATATCTGGTTAAAAGACTTGGATTCTTGCTGCAAGAGAAGAACGCTTTGTTTACAATAAAATAATATTCTTAAAATTCTAATAATCGTGGTTTATAAAGATATGAGGTTAATTAGAGCATGGAAAAGATTTTGTAAGTGGATATTATGAAATTAGGCTTGCGTAATTTGTATAACTTTTTCTAAGTGTTGCGATTTTAAATGAGTAACTGACATATTAGACTCCTTACGTTAACGTAAACAATGATAAAAACGTTATTAACACTGTGTTAAGAAAATAGACATGACATTCACTTAGGGCTTGTAATAGGTTTCAAGTTTTAAAATAACCATTAAACACAAGTATCTTGGATATTTTTAAACTCTTGGCAATGTTATAATATCATTTAAAGGTTTTAATGCTTACGTGAAATGCATCTAAAACTGCAATTTTCCCACGAAACTAGCTAAATATTGGGTCAGAGATGAAGCTGCTAACTTATTATCGAGGGCATGATAATGTGATACTTGTTCAGGGCCTATCGTGTGATAGATGAGGTGGGAGCAGTGGTGGATTGGCAGGGGAACACCAAAGAACAGATCAGATAGAAACCTGCTACATTGCCAATTCATCCGCCAAGAAACGCACTTGGAGTTACTCGGGGTTGAAGTTTTGTCTCTGGCGAGAAAAGCCAGTGTCTGGCTTACATGAAATACATAAGACGCTTTAGTTAGTGTAGATGTGTTTCAAAATGACGACCTTCCTATATATATATATATATATATAGGATACTCTGCAATGTCCTTTGAGGACACGAAACTCAACTAAATATTACCTTCAAAATATATCTTCCTAAAGCAAAGGAAACACAACACTTTACCATCACAAAAATTAACTACTTGCTATTTAAGAAAATAAAAACTGTTAATTATCACTCGGTAGAAAAACTTCAGAGTTATAGATTGTTAACAACTTGTCTTTAAGTGGTTAAGAGATTTAGTTTCCAGAGGTAAATTAGGCACTCGATATTAAATGTAGGTTTTCCAAATAAGAGGTGCATTGTTGTTGAACTGCTGCTTTGTTTTCTAAAATATGGGATATCTTTCGAAATATTGATAACAATACGAAGTATGAGCACGTTCACTTCGATCACCCGAAGAACTGACCCAACTATAGTTGGAGTGCCTCGTGCTATTGACTACAGGATAAAACTCATTCGCTCTAAAAGCATTTGAGTGCTTTTCTATCCGTTCACTCTCTTACACAGATTCAAAATGAATACATCCATCTCACTCCTACTAAAAGCGCCCCCTCCTTCGCCGCCACAGCCCCTCCCTCCCCTTCGCGTACTCCCTCCCTCACACATCAACTTGTTGGGAGTGGTTGCTTTTTCTATTTTGAAGGAGGAAAAACGGAGACTAACACCGACCCACTGGTAAATTTCACCAAGTATTGTTCGCAAAATGCACGTTAATTTTAACGTCAACTTATAGTGTTCTTTTAAAAACAAAAAAATTCTCTCTTTACGTGTTTCAGAAATGATCTTCCGCATAGACTCCCAGGCGTTTTACACTTTGTGTTTAGTCGTGTTTAGATATGTTTCTAAGGTACATGAACATTTTGTGAGGGCGTGATAGCCAGTCGACAAAGCGTGAACAGGTATCATTTGCATGAATTTATTTTACGTTTTTGAATAAAAATTTGTATACGTAACTGGTTGTAACACACAATAAATATTGTGACTGGCGAAAAATTTGTCTCATAAATTATGGGTAAAAGATATATTTCAAAATCTTTAAAACACATTAGAAAAAGTTTGATTCACAAAAGTACATTCATGTTCACTGTAAAATTAATACGAATAATAATTTAAAAATGGAATATTAAGTACAGTGTGAAATTAATATTTTTCGCCAGTTCTAGGGTTAAAGAGTGTACTAGTCCTAGAAGTTTGGGAAACCATAAATGGTTTTCAAAAATTTCTCACAAATGTTTATTTTTCCCCAAACATTTGTAGAAATATGATTAGGCTTTACAATTTATAATCCTACATTAACTCAGGGCTGAAATGATAGTCTCTCATAATTTTAGATAATATTAAAGCTTCTAAACTATGAATTCATTCTTCAGTTTTAATATTCGAACTTACCTCCCTTACACTGGCATTGGCGATATTACGAACTACTCTGTTGTTCTTATAATTGTTTTCATTATTAGCTAGATGTATCCAGTAAAGATATTACTTATTAACAAATTATTTTTCTTGCCTTTAAGGAAGTTGTCGTGGTTTCTGAGAGACCCCTTCTGGTTGAGGCCCCTCTTGGGGCGACGTATCCGGTGGTAAACCCTGGATCCTAAGAAGATACTCCTTGTAACAAGAACGTTCTTCAGTAAAGGTGAGTGAGCAAATCATTTAGAACTGTAATGAATTTTCAATCACGTAATGTTAAATACAATATTAAGAAAAAAAGAATTTTCTGGAAAGTGTTATAATGTCGACTTTTATTTAACTGCTACTACCATAAAGATATTAGTTAAATTAAAAATTAATAATTAAATGGTCAGTATTTATGAGTAGTTTTATTTAATTTAGGTTTTTATGATTAAAAAAATATTTATTTTTAAAATGCAAAAAGCATTCGACACAGAACATGTAGATATGTTTATGAAACACACGTCATATTGCACCGTGCAATGGATTATTAATTTTTACCAAAAAGCTAAAAAGTAAAGACAGATCTCTCACGATGGCCACGATATTTTGTGCTAGTATAAAAACTCTGTCACATAGAATCGTTTGAGGACACGCGTTTCTGTTTTACGGATTGTCGTCACAGCATAGTGAAATGCGTCCTAACAGATGGAAAATTACGCAGCTAGTTGTCATAAATCTAGTTGCATATGACGCAAACAATACACCACCTGGCGCCACGTTTACATACCATTGATAAACTGCAGGTGGCAGGGGTGGGAATTCTTCCTTATTTAAATCGTGTAAATCGAAATGATTGTTGTTTTATTTCCGCTGTGAAAATTTTGCACCAAATAGTTTGTATTTGAGAGGTACTGGGTTTAAATATTGGCCTCGACACCGGTTATCCTTAGGTATTTGTGGCTTTCCTCGGCCCCTTCAGGCAAATACAGGGATAATACCTTCAATTAGGCAAGACCGTATCCATTCAAATCCTTTCCAATTCATTCATTAATGGTCTTATCATCTGACGCCATGGCGTCGTTAAATAAGTGTAGTATCAAAATGTCACATGGTATAAAAGGTGAATTTTTAAGGCCTTTGGACTTTTTACGCTGAAGCTGTCCGCGGAACCCATTTAAGTATCTTATTCTTGTCATCTTTCAAGTGGTTCGTATTTAAATAGATATCTACCGTAGTGCGTGTAGTGCATTAACGGACTAAGAGCCAGTTCATGATTTGAATGTGTACAGATTTTGTAAAAAACAACAGTAATCAAATAATGCATAAAATAAAGGTAGGATTGCGATGTTATTTGATGATATGTTACAATGGGGTCGCCAGTTCGAACCCATGTTGTAGGGCGAAATGTAGACTGATGTTTTTTAAGTAAGTGTGTATAACGTCTTTTGTGCGAGACAACAAAAACTAGAAAGCGTTAAACATTCTCTCTTTATGCTAAAGAGTATAAAGGTGTATGCGGTCTAGAGCACTCTTATTACCGAAAGGAATTATTTGTTTGAGTTTTGAGTAGAATATTTGACACCAGTATATCGGAAAGTTTTATAATTTATACCTTCACCAAACATAATTAGGGTGATAACAACAAGAAGTTGACACATACTAACAAAAATGCAGAATTTTGATACTTATATTGATGTATGGTTTGAAAGGTTTAAAACCGAATAATCCAGAAACCAGACTTCGTTGACCTTTACAAATACGCACGCGTGGGTCAGTCAGCAAGGCTCCTTGCTGACTTGTCATTTATCTATTCCGTTGCATTCTTACTGTGACATAGTTCAAGCCTGCAAATATTTTGCATTTATAGAATGCAATTATCAACTCTATGGAACATTGACTTTTATGAGAAGTTGGTAGTTCTTAAACTGGTCAACAAATTACCCAATTTTTTGTAGAAAAAGATGTCTTGTCATGTGTAAAAGAGTCAACCATTACTCTGTTCTGACGAATACAAAATCAGTTTGTTTTTCGTATTGAGAACCGACTTATGTTGAGGTGGTCTCTTCCGTGAAGACTTTCACTCAAAAATTCTATAAGCACTTTCTTTCGGATTAGCTCTACGTTATCCTACTAATATTTTGTGAGTAATACGAATTGTGAAGTTAAAACTTGGGCAGGTTTTTGTATATTGTTACTACGCCCCTCTTGGATACTAATATTCTGCACGACGCCATGTTTTCAGAAGATTCTCAGTCTATTTTTCGAAACTTTATATGAGATACCAAGTTTCATACCCTCATAAAATAAAAGCTACCTACAAAACTGGAGGCTCAGGTTCTGTGCCATTTACACCGTCCATAATTACAGGCAGCTGAAGTTGCTAATAAATATGTAATATTCCGACTTACAATTACGAAACATCCTTTCTCCTCTAGCATAATTAATTTAGTGCACAGTAATTATACATCAGTAAAGTTTTATAATGTTAGTAAAGTAATGAAAAGACGTATATGCGCATGTGTAACACGACATTTAAAGGATAACGCAGGAGTGTGAATTCTACAGTCTACAAGCCAAATGCGTCTCATGAGTACATTGTCTGACGTTGAGTGGTAACGGAAATTTGAATTTTATAAAGTAAGGATAATTTCTTTACTAGCTGAGCGACTATCAGTTTCTCAATATTAAATTGCTGTATGCGGTTTTAAGACAGAATCTTAGTTTCTACACATATTTTAGATCGTCCCAATATTTATAGCCTTATATAACTGGGTTCTCGGGTTCGATTCCCGGCGGTGCCCGAATTTATAACTTGTGTTGGGCAAGGCCGTGGTCTAGGCAACACGGAGTTTTCCTCCGTGGCATCCCAACAATTACTCCATTCACACACAGAAGAAGGCAATGGCAAACCACTTCTGGATCATCTGCCAAGAACGTATATGAACAGGTCCCAGTCCGAGAAAAGGATGGAAGGATCCTGTTCATATGGACCTGTCGTCAGACAGAACACTAAATAAATAATAAATAAAATAACTATCTTAAAACGTGATTTACTTAGAAGATTTATTTCTCTATGAATAACTGTTTTAATATCTTGGTGGATTTTTGTCTTCGTTAATTCTAAGTATATTCTTAAATCTCTTTTATTTTGCGTGTATATCTTTTGGTAAATATACTACACCAGCTCCCGGAAGTTCGGTTCATGTGAGAACTCAGTTATTTGGCAAAACACTAAACAGCTTCCAGTCTCCGAAACGTCGTGTTCGTTTTCCAAAAAGATCAAAACGATGGATAATGTCGAGGAAGCTAATTGTTTTGTCATTACACCATCGTTAGAGACCTTAAGATTTGGTTTATTAATAACTTTTGTTAACTTAAGTGAGATTAGCTTCTTCAGTGGACAGTTTCTGAAACGTCGTGGACTTTTAATCTTGAAAAAGATGGAATCTTCCTGTGTGTTCTAGTCAGAAATTCATTTAACAAGTACAAATGCCCATTACGAACTGTCGACTGTGGGTAGTTAAGATTGGCTCTGGGGACGCGAAAATATTATTTATAACCATGAAATCTGTTGAAAATAAATTACGTGTTGCAGATGAAGATTGTGAAAATGTTGGTACTCTTAGGTTCTATAGAAGTCTGTAGATTACATCACTGCTACCTTCTCAAGAAGACCTTTGCTCCATGTAGTTAGCAGAAGTATATTTACGAAACACTAAACCAGTCACGAGGGGACTACATTGTTACTGGTCACCCCTGTTGGGTAATTGGAACATGTGAGTAGGGGAGGGGTGTTGTTGTCTGTGAGGCCTCGTGAATTCTGCAGTTCGCGAATATAATGTTTCCTTCTTGTATAACATGTCAGGGGTGAATATGTTCAAACACCGAGCATGGTAATTTTACATGAGATTCCAGAAATATGCAATACTTCGTAAGATTTTCTTATGGAATATACGTTTCTATCTGCCTGCGAGGTTATAAGTGTTACATATTAAAATATATATATATAAAAAGTAAAAGTTTACGTGGATATGTCTCTCAGCCGAGATAGCTGTCAGTAAGGTGATTGATTATGAACGAAGTGGGTTTGATTCCCGACAAGGGCAGGGATATATTTATTCGTTTCGGGAACAAAGAATACGGGTTGAAATTGGACCGTTCCCATCTAGTACCGAAGCTAGTAAGTTTCTATACGCCGTCGTACCGCGGTGTTTAGATAAGAATAAATTCATCATCTTTTGGCCTGTCATTGTAAAGAAAGAAAGGTGACTGGCGTGTTTGAGAAAAGGGTGCAGAGGAAGATACGCGGAGATTATACAGACCAGATGACAGGAGGATGGAGAAATTTTCATAATTAGGAACTTCATAATCTGTGCCTTTCAACCAGAAGTGTTTACGATGACCGGATCATGGAGAATAATATGCACAGTAAATGTAGTTTGCGTAAGAGAGACAATAAATGTATATAAGATTTTGTTTGGAAAACCTAAAAGGGAGCAATAGGAATACCTAGGATTAGTTTTTACGATAATATTAAATTTCGTGTTCTGATAAATGATTTGAAGATAAGGAATTTATAATTTGTTTGATGATAGGGATAGGTGGTGGTCTCTTGTGGACACGGCATTGAACTATTTTATTTCATAAAAGACGGTGAATTTCGTTGAGTTGAGAGATTGATGGTATCATAAGTACTTCGATCTATGGAATTAAACGTTTGAGCATGAAGTTTTTGTCAAATATAAGACGAAAGCGTAGTGAAGGGTTAAAATGAAAAATTGTGATACGAAATTGGACCAAAGGATGTTGACGTTCTTACCATACTTACGGGTTTGTCAGTTACTGTAGATCTTTCTCTGTGCTTGACACTGACGGAAAAGTATCACGTAACAGAGGTGGCTAAGTATAGATTTAATGATGGTTTTACGTCTCGTATGTTATGTAGGCCCCAATGGGAGTATGATTTAGAACAACGAACTGGCGAAGCGATTATAGTCTGTTACATTTCTTTTTCACAGCATTTTCCTCGAGAGACTGAAGAAATATACGAACACCTAAAGATATCGAATTTCCGGGCCTGGAGTCGAACTCTTTAACTCTCGAATACGAAGCAGCTTTATTCAGCTCTCGACCAATGTAAACTAAGTATTCAGTCTTTATCTTGTGGCTGAAAATTGAAACCCATTGGTGCTTTGTGGTTTGTAACAATGCTATCGTTAGCTCAGATTGTAAGACTGTAGT